AGCGGGTTTTGTCAGAATCGCTTCAGCAAAATACAGGTACTTTACATTGACTTCAATTTCTAAATTTAAACAACTAAGTTTTCTAATTTGTTGATTTGTTTTTATAGAAGAAGCTGCTAGCGACGATAACGAGATGGAAGACGATGATGGTGATGAATACTTCAATGTAGACGATCATGATTGGTTTGATGATGAAGAATCTAATGACGCCAACAATGATGACCAGGACGATTGAGATACATTTACATATTTTTAAATGAAATTTTTATACACCTAAGTTACTTTTTAAAAAGACGTTTTTCACAAAATTTTTATACACAAACATTTTCTTTTAATATTTTTAAGTAATAATTATTTAAATAGTTCCTACTTTTAACTTTGTATAGGTATCTCACTCTCTCCAAAGCACGAGCATAGTACGCGTATACTCACGGCTGAATGTTTTTGGTGTCTGGGGGGTGTTTGGCCCTTACAATTAGTCTGGCTGAATAAATATATGTTTAAAATAGTTCTTTAAATAACATATATAAAAACCAGACATTAGAATATAAGTAAAGTTACAAAACAAAATTGGGAGCTTTAAAGCGTCTAGCGGAAGTTATGGCCCACGGAAAGTATCTGGCAATGTTCAATATTATTTTCTAATAATATTTTATGGAATATAAATAAAAATCAGCCTTTAGAAAATAAGTGAAGTTAACCTTATTTATAGTTACCTTTCTCACCTGGTACCTGTGAATTGGCCCACTAACCAACTTAGCAGGTATGGAGGCATTCAATACATATATAAACACTACTTGATGCCCCACATTTTGTCCTTTAGAAAATAAGTTATGTCTGGGGGCACTGGGCTCTTTGTCTATAAGTGGATTTGGCTATATTTACTTATATCAAAAACTGGCTCGTAACAAAGTTAAACTAACATTCATAAAAACGTTTTTATTTGTAAAAAATTTGCTGCTGCGATTTTTTCTTTGAATTTTTTGCCAGTGCTGTAGATTTGAAGGCCCAATATTCCCTTGAAAAAAGCTGGGGGTTGGGTACCTTTTAACCTCCCCGTATTTTTTGTCGTAAAGAAACTTGCTTTATCGATCTTAAAATCAAAAAGAACTATGAATTTAAATTTTTTTTTATAGCAAAATGAACTTTGTATCTTTCTTAATTAACGAGCTATTTACAATTTTTTAACTGAATTTCTAGAGCAATTCGTCCGTCCTGAACTTAACATAACAAAACTAAGAGCAGGTCAGGAGTTATTGTACAAAAAACGCATATAAAATTCAGTGGTGTGTCTAGGGTTGTGCTTGAGCCGCCCCTGCAAAAACAACATGTTGAATATTTACTAAATTAAATAGTTTATAAAATTGTATAATAATTATTGTCAAGTGTTTATTTTTGATTGTTAATTGTTTAATTAAAAAATATTTTTTTTTAATTATTATTAAATTTAATAAATACATTTCCAAACTAACGTGTATTTTTATCAGTGGCCAAGTAAACCCATGAGGACAGGTAGCACACCATTTTTATGGCGCCAATCTAATACTATAAATACCTTTTTTACAAAAAATAAATAAAACACGTAGTTTTTGCAGGGGCGGCTCAAGCACAGCCCTAGACACACCACTGATTTTTATATGCGTTTTTTGTACAATAACTCATGATCTACTCTTAGTTTTGTTGATATGTTAAGTCCAGGATGGACGAATTGCTTTAGAAATTCAGTTAAAAAATTGTAAATAGCTCGTTAACTAAGAAAGATACAAAGTTCATTTCGCTATAAAAAAAATTTAAAAATTAATAGATCTTTTTGATTTTAAGATCGATAAAGCAAGTTTCTTTATGTCAAAAAAAATACGAGGGGGGTTAAAAGGTACCCAACCCCCCAATTTTTTTACGGGGTCGTTTTAAATTTTTTTTCTTCTTATTGGGCCTTTAAATCGGCAGCACTGGCAAAAAATGCAAAATGCAGCAAAATTTTTACAAATAAAAAACGTTTTTTTTTAATGTTACTTTAACGCCCTGTAACTTTGTTAGGAGCCAGTTTTTGATATAGATAGATAAAGCAAAAGCCACTTATTTTTTGGTAATCTATCTGAGGAAGAATTTATGACATACCTTTTTGAAACACTATGTATAATTAACAATGGCCTACTACGGCATCGTTTATACTTGTCTATGTACGGTGACTATGTTGAACATATTTTATAAAAAAAAATTACATAATTCATTTTCACAATATACCTATAGAACTTAGATAAGTTGGGGTTTGGCTGTTAAGGCTAGGGCCGTTCGGGTCGAGATATTGAGACCAAACTCGGTATACCTATCCCATAAATATTAGAATCTCATAAAAAGTTGTCCCCAACCCCTAGATGATAAAGAGGGGGTGGCATTTCCAAATTTTTGTCAAAAAACTTTTTTCTTTTCTTTGGAGTGAAATACATTTGATCAGAATCTTCATAGTGGGAGGAAAAATGTTTATACAAAAAATATAAAATTTTGGGTATGCATGTGTGTAAAAGAAATCTTAGAATTCAACAATTTCACACAAGTTGTAACTTATTTTTTTGGCGATGTTACCCCCTCCATCTCTCTCTAGGAGATGATGGGGGTAAAATTTTTATACAGAAACGTAAGTCAAGTCTATTTTAAATATGTCAAAAATGAGATTTGTGTCTTCTCTGCAACTATTAATAAATTCCAGCCCCCACGTTTGAACTATGATAGTCCAGCTCGAGAAATTTCCAAAGTTTAAAGATAAAAATTGTCAAAACGTGTATGTGTGCTTTATTTTTTAAAATCGTTAATGGATCAAACTAGATAATGACTATTTACTTTTGTTTAAAAAAAAACTAATCTATGGTACACAAAAGTATAAAAATTGACTAAATTACCTAGTTGTAGGTAGCATTGATAGGTGGGCGCGAATTTCGAAACGTCGCACACTGGGGCAACAAGCTCTCAAACTTGGTAATAAATACAAAAATTAAATAGCATGTACACTCTAACTCATATTTTTTTTCGATGTTCCACTATCCCCTGCATAATAAAACAAACCAGTGCGGTCATCAGTTTCACGCGTCTCATCGTTAGACTCATCAGTCGAAGTTACTTACCTGCGCAGAGTATATGTGCATTTTTCTTTCGTAGTTTTTAACTTGTTTTTGTGCTGTTTTTTAAGCTGTATTTTTTTTTTTTTTTAACTTTTCGCCATGGAACCTTCAAGTTCTGGTATGTATTATTATTTTAATAAGACAAAAGTTGCAGAAAAATAAACGTAATCTTATAAAAGTGGTTAAACGTTAAAATTTTAAAATATTCTTAAATACGTGAAGGCTATTTGTTGTGTTCCAAAGCAGCCCAAGCTTTAAATTTGGACTTTTTATTATGAATATTATTTGTAGTTTTCGGAATCGTTTAGTTTGTGTGCACTTATTTGCACTTTTCTTCACTATTTGGGTTTTTTCAAAGTATATTAATATATAGCGGGTGGATCGCAAAAAAAACGAATTCGGTTCTTTCATTATATTTCGTTTATTAATAAACTGATTTAACTGTTCTTGGGCTCATTTCATTGGCAACTAAATATGTTCCCAGATAGACATAACAAAATTGCAGAAATGTAAAAATCCAAGATGGCCGGCCACATTGAAAAAAAAAACGAACTTAAAAGTAACCCATTTTAAGCTCGTTTCTCGTAATAATGATAAATTATATAAAATCTAATAAGAAAAATTGAAAATCAAACAAATTTTCTTTAAAATTCTTAATTGTTTTGGCCTTTATGATGAAAATCCATATTATTAAAATGACAAAAACCAAACATGGTAGATTTTCACAAAACTTTTAATTAAAATAAAAATTAAAAATTGCAGACAATTGTTTCGAAGTACAACTTCTTCAAATGTGACTTATTTACATTTCGGTGTACAAAACAAACTAATTAGTCAAGGTAGGTACTCAACAAACATTCCAATAAAGCACTATCGTTACCAGGATTATCTCAAAGAAAACATCTGGTAAAGAGATTTGATAAAGGTGAAATTAATATCTAATTTAAGAGGTTATCTGAATTTTTAAATCTATTTTAAGTTTTTCTAAATAAAGAATAAAAGCATTAAATTGAACCATTTAGAAACAATTGAAATAATCCCGTTATTGATAGTGTCTTATTGTAATTTTTGTTGATATATTTTTCTTAAGTACTTTAAATAATTAGTTTGGTTTCTATATATATTGGACACCGAAATTTAAATAAGTCACATTTGAAGAAGTTGAAAAAATTCTCTGTAATTTTATTTTTTTTTTTTAATAAAAGTTTTGTAAAAATCTACCATGTTTGGTTTTCTCATTTTTCTCCAAGCACGATTAGTCAATTCGATCGTAAGATATAGACAATCAAAATTGTCTGTTTTTTATGTTTTTATAGATGCTTATAATAATATCATTATGTTTTTTAATACTATTTTTTTTTATTTATTAACTAATTTGGAACCAATGGGCATGATTTGGTAGTTATGTAACTTTGCTTTCCGACCATCAAATTAAAATGGCGGACAATTTAAATTCCAATATGGCGAACTTACTTGAAATATGAGTTGATTTATTTTTGGTAGATCTGAGAACATATTTAGTTTTATCTAGAATATGAGCCTAAGAACAGTAAAATCGGATTATTATAAAAAAAAAAATAAAAAACAAAATCCAGTTTTTTATTGCCCACCCGGTATAAATAAGACATAGTGTTTCACACTTAAATTTTTTATTTATTTTTTATTTTACTTCAGGAACGAGGTCGAACACTGTTTATATCGAGAAAGGAACTTCTTGATGTCATGAGAATTTCTGGAAAGAGTGAAATTGATGAGCAGTTTATTGTTTTGAAAGAAGAGATCAAGAAACGAACAAAATGCGATAAAGAGCTTTTAAAGTGTTTAAATAAAAATTTGTCGCATTTCAAATCACAGTACAAATCGCGTTAGATCAAGGCATTTAGGATGGAAGAAAGGTTTCTCAAAAATAATGCTGAATGGCTGAATACTTCAATTTCATTTCAAAATAGAGAAGAAATAAAGACTCTCAAAAACAAACGGGATCGCCCAGAAATATCATTTGAATCGAGTTCTGAGAGAACCAAGCGATTAAAAACAAAGAAGTTGAGGGATTCTACACCAGTAAGTGTATTAAATTATGCCACTCAAATGGGCTTAAGAGCAACAGTACAAGCACAGGCAGCAAAAGTGTTGCATGAAATTACAACCACATCTCCGGAACGTGCGAATAGATACAGAAAAGCATTCGTTAAGTCACTTGATAAACAACTTATGCCAGGCGAAGATGTTCTAGAGGTTTTGGTGGATGCAAAGTTATCCCGGCATCAATATAACATAATCAGGATAAATGCCCAAGAGAAATTTCCTTCTTATAAAACAGTTCAAGCTGCGAAGAAGCATTGTTATCCGAAGCAAGAATATATAACAGTAACTTCTATCTGTGCAGACCATACTGTGCAACGTTTGCTATTAACACTGGAGCCAGTAATTGAGTCTTTTAGGGACGAAGAACTGGAAAAGCTGTGTTTGTTTTCAAAATGGGACTTTGATGGCAGTTCGGGCCACAGTTCATACAAGCAAGCATTTCATGGTCATGAGGCCAGTGATTCGGCTGTTTTTATTACTTGCCTTGTTCCAATACGCCTTGTTTGTGGTGAAAAATCGTATGGCAGAACCCACGTCCAGCTTCTACTAGATACTGCAGGCCAATAAAAATTGAATTTATTAAAGAGTCAACTGAAGTTTCAATAATGGAGAAAAACAGAATAGACGACCAAATAAAACAGTTACGGAAAAGCACTTCTATAATTCAAGGAAAATCTTTGAATAAAAGTCATAATTTAATATTTGCCATGGTCGACGGCAAAGTATGTAACGCGCTTACTGCCACAACATCCGCACAAAAATGCTTTATATGTGGCGCAACATCCAAAGATTTTAATCGTATTGACGAGATGATTAAGAGAAAAATAAAAACTGAAAACTTGGAAACGCATGTTTGAATGCCTTCTACACCTATCTTACAAATTACCTCTCAAGAAGTAGCAAGCTCGAGGAAGTGACAAAGAAGTTGTTTTAGAAAACAAGGCTCGTATTCAAAAACAATTTAGAGAGCGATGTGGGTAATTCGTAGATAAACCTAAACCCGGATTTGGTAATTCAAATGACGGAAACACGGTTAGACGTTTCTTTAAGGACGCAGAACTATCGGCTGAAATTACTAAAATAGACATTGAGTTAATAAAAAAGATGCATATTATAATAATTGTAGTTTCTAGTGGACATGAAATTAATGTCGAAAAATTCACAGAATTTGCTCACAACACCGCTAGATTCTTTGTTGAAAAGTATCCCTGGTTCAATATGCCTCCGACATTGCACAAATACTTCATACATGAGCCTGAAATAATATCTTCTGCTTTGTTGCCTATAGGCCAATTAACGGAGGAAGCGCAAGAAGCCCGGAACAAGGATTTCAAAAAATATCGAGAACATTACTCGAGGAAATGTAGCCGAGAGAAAACTAATGAGGACGTTTTAAATTCGTTTTTACTTAGTTCCGACCCTGTAATCACGAGCAAGCGAAAGTTACAAAAAAAGAAACTGCAGCACTTTCCTAAAGAAGCAGTAGATTTGTTAAAATCTGGACTCGCCTAGCTTCATAGCCATGGTATAATTGATGACCCTGATGATGACAGTGGAGACCATGAAGAAAATTTCTCATCACATTCTGAAGAGGATGAAGCTTAATTAAAATTATCATAGCTTTTCTAAATAAAATTATTATAATATTACATTTTTTTTATATTATATTCTTAACAAATTTCTATTTTTTTTTTTAAGAAATAAACACTAAAGCTATCTATGTATTGTCTTTGGTAATATTAATACCTCTACAAAGCAATATTTAACATAGAAATTTATAAAAAGAGTCTGTGATTTATTGCCAACTTTGATGGCTTGTTGCCCCAGTGTGCGTCGGCCTTCTTTTATTTTTTTAGAACTTAGCAATAAAAAAATGTTTTTTAAGTTGAGTGCTCGAATATAGAATCATTATAAAATACATATTAATATTAGAGCGAGCGCAACCGAGGTTGTTTTCTAACATTTAATTTTGAAGGCAAAGAAAATATGTATTTCACAAAAAAAGATACATCAAATTAAGCTAAAAAAGAATAAAATAGTCCACTTACTATATTAAATGAGTACTTTTTAGTGTATTAAACATTTTTTTCAGAAATCCGACGTACCTGATAGTATATGCGAAACCCACTTGAGGTTTCAAATTAATACTTTGGGAACTACAGACTTTAAAAAAAAACGCATTTTTTTTTACTTTTATTCACTATTGTGTCGAAATATCTAATTTAAAATTGGAGAAAACGACTTACATAGTTATATTTTGCCTTTTAGATTATAATGGTTGCAATATTAGTAAAGGATCCGAAGTATATTACATCCGATGTATAACGGATGAGTTTTTTTTATCAAATAAAATATGTTTATTTATATACCGCAAATGGATTGCCTAAGAAAATACTGTCATGGCTATTTTTTACTTTTCTTTCTGTTTACAGATAAGAAAAGTATAGGAAAAGTTGCTTGTAATGCCTTTCTCTATAATTTTAAATTTTAAATGGATCGTATTCGAGATATTTGAGAAAAACTAAAAATTTCGAATTTTAAAGATAACTCAAAAACGGATAAAGAAAAAACACTAAATTTTAAAATTAAGCTTTAATCCATCCTGCAGTCAGCTGAATACATTTTGGACATAGTCGAAGCATCTGGGGAATACTATAGGGTGTCGTTTTTTTACTTTAAAAAAATAAATAGTCTTAACAGTATTTTTTTAGGCAACCCATTTGCGGTATATTTATAAACATATTTTATTTAATAAAAAAATTTTCATCCATTAAACAGATATGTAAAAGTCGACCTTACTTCGGATCTTAGACTATAAAAATAATTTTATTTTTAATTTATTTTTATTTTTTAAGCACATGAAATAAATCTTGATAACATTATAAAACTGGACGAGAATTTAATTAAAGAAATGATCCCAATTATAGGCCAAAGAATTAAATTTGTGGAGCATTGGAGAATTTCAAAAGAGCTCTCCTCCTTACCAGTGGTAATTTCAAATTACATTAATTAATAAAAATGTTTTTTATTTTTAAGTTCATTTATGCCTAATTTGTTTTATTATTTAAAACTATTTTTTACTAAATATCTCTCTGAAGTTAAAAGATTTTCTTCCTGTGCAAACGTCCTATTTCTTTATAATGGATCTATATTTACATAAGCAATGAAAGCTTCAGGTGAGAGCAGAAACTTTCGAAATTTTATAAAAAAATATAGTTGGGCATTTGTGAAAAACGAAATAATTTTTAGTTTCAGAAAGACCTCTAATAATTACAAAATTTCTTTTTTGTGATTTTAGCAGATTCCAAGAAAATAAATTGTTCAAACATCAAATAAAAATAAATCGGTAGTTATATCAAGATATTTCCTTAAAACACCTAAAATATAATTGTAACCTTGTATATATTGTAAACAAGATAATGTTACTTTTCTTTCATATAAATACTTAAACATGTATTATTTATTCATTATTCATTTAGACTCGACACTTTGTTCTTGTATTAGAATACGTTCTCAAAAAGTTAGCATTGTTAAAGTTCACAAAAGTTAATAAAGTTTCATTTTTAAAAAATAAGTTTTCGATTCCAAGGTTAAAACTGCCGCAGTCAGTAGGATAGTGACACGGTCAAGAAGAAATCCTCGCTTCAGTCGAATTTCTATTGGCTTTGGAGTTTCAACCCCTTAAGTGTGCTTTCCAACCAGAGACTTTCAACTTCCAAGTGAACAAGCTGCTGAGACGACTTCGAGTAGAATAATCAGAGAAAGGGCTTTCTTACTTTTCCAAATCCCTTCAGAGGTAGTAGGAAAAATAGTTTTGTTAAGCTTTTGTTAAGATTTATTATTTTGAAAAATACTTATTTTAAAAAAAGGGATAATTTTACATAAAAAAAGAGATATATAATAATAATAATAATAATAATATTACTTAAATTTTTTGGAAGTACATGAATATTACTTTCAATAAAAATTAATTTATTTATGAAAAATAATTTACCTATTGTTATACCAGAGATTGAAGATTTAGAATCTTTAAACAATTTTTTACTAGATAGTGATAGCGATACAGATAATTTTGAAATCAATTTTGATAATTGTTCTGATAGTGAAGATAACTTAAACGACATGGCAAATGTCCAAGTTCAACCACAAAGGGCTCCAATTAATTGGGATCTCTTTAAATCAAAAATACAAAACATAAAATCATTTGATGGAAGTAGTGATGCTTTAAATATTTTTATTACTAGATGTGAGAATTTAATCAATACTTATGCAGTATACAATGACATTGAATTAAATGAACACATGTTTGAATGTATCCAAAACAAACTAGTAGGTAAAGCCGAATCGATGGTCGGTAACAGAATTGAAATAAATAATTGGCAAGCTCTTAGAAATGCTTTACAACAATGTTTTGCTAATAGGCGTGACTTAGATTGTTTAGTTCAAGAGTTAAAGCGATGCAAACCGTTTAAAAACGAACATTTGGTTAATTTTGGTAGTAGGTTACAACTTCTTAGAAGTAGTGTTTTTCAACGTATTAGTAATAATCCAGACCTCAATCAAAATAAAAAACAAATTTAGATCAACCACTATGAAAAAACAGCACTAAGTACATTTATAGCCGGATGTACCGGAACACTAAAAAATAACATGCATTTGAAAAATCCTGCGCCTTTAGAAGATGCAATGGCATATGTTTCCGAATTTGAAAACTTCGAAACAATGTACGGTAATTTAAATCATCAAAATAGAACAGTAAATAATGACAATAATCAAAAATTGTATAATCGAAACAATCAGTATAATAATATTCAACGTTTTCAACATAATCAACGTAATTTTGAAAGACCAATATGGTCAAGTCAACCTGTCAATGTACAACCTATTCAACAACAACGTAATCCCCGATATTTTACTAATAAACAAATATTTGGTCAACCCAAAAACGTTTTCAAACCTAATAAAATTCCAATTAATCAATTACCAAATCCAACCCCTATGTCAACTTCTACCAGGAACCCTACAGTTCAAAATCGTAGATTTCCTTATTATAATCCCAATAACAACTATTTCAGAAATAATAATAATACGAATAATAATAATAATCCTAATCGAAACTTCTCTTTTGAAGAATTACATATAATGATAACGATGTTGCAAATTATGAAAGAATCAATGACAATTATATTTCGATATACTCGTCCAATTAGAATACACACGTAGTTTACACAATAGTGACTTTGTCGAGCACATTCTTCAAAGACACCTCATAAGCTAAAAAACCTATAATTCGCTGACGCCGGCCGGCAGCCGATAATTATTAATCATTCATTACACTGTTGTGCTTTGTCGAGGCAAGTTATTTTTCGAGCGTTTATATTTGGTACGCAGAATAAAAATGCCTAATAAAAAGAGAGTTTATAGTAGTGATAGGATGGTGAACTAGACAAAAAAAGGAGAAAGTTGCGGAAGAAGTTAGAGAATTTGGAACGAAAGAGGCGTCATAAACACAAAATTTTAAGTAAGCATTAATGGTTCCAAACGAGTTTGGGTAATTCCACTAAATATAAATATTTTATTTTTTCTTTGTTTGTGTAAATGGTTCCAAACATGTGTTTGGGTAATGCCAGATTGGTTCTGAACTATAATTTCAGGTAATTCCAAATGTTAGCACGCCTATAAATGGTTCTGAGAGAGTAAATATAATTTATTTTTGCTTTTTCGGGTAATTCCATCTAGCTTACAAGTCGTAAAGCTTTAAAATATACCTAATATGGTGAACATTTTCAGGCGATTCCAGTACGAATTCTGGATCAAGTTCTTCAGGAACTTCTGAAAATGAAAACCCAGAATCAAT